TTAATTCTTATAAGAATCTTGTAAGGATTGATATCATCATCTCCATTTTAGAGATGACAAAATGAAACAGATTGATAGAGCTTCAAATCCTGAAATATGAGAAAGGCTGTGTATGAATGATGAGCAATTCATTGAACTAGGTAACAAAATATTTAAGAGCATTAATTCTTAAGGCCAATAGATTTGGGCTGGGATCTTGGTTTTGGCACATTCAGCTGTGGGACACTGAATATATCATTTAAGTTCCCTGAGCCTTAATCTTCCTTGTCTTCAAAATCAGAAATGACACTATCACTTAGGTTTTTGTGAGGATTAAATTATATAGGTAATGCACTTGCTATATCATGTGCTGTATGGTAAGCTTACTTCCATTTGTTCATGCGACAAATCTGAATTTTTTTATAGATTGCATTTTTTATTATTTTGAAATGTTTTATTATGAATTTTTTTGTCACACACAGTTTTTATGTGAATGTTGAAATCCCCAGTGATCAAAATTGTAAAAATATGAAATGTATAAGATATATATGTACAGCCTAAAGGGTGATAATAAAATGAACGCCTGTGTACTCAGCACCTAATTTACAAAAGCAATACCAGCCCTCAGAAGCTCAGGCACCCGCCCCGATCACATTCACTTTCTCTCTCTGGAGATAACTTCTATACATATTGTGTGGAATATTCTCTTCTTTTTCTTTATAGTAATAATTTTACTATGTAGGTATGCATAACCAAGCAGTATATGGTCTGGATTTACCTGTATTTGTAGTTTCTAAAAAGTTTTCTTGATATTTAATTTATAAAGTTTACCTGTTTAAAGCATGCATTTGAACTTTTAATAAGCACATGCTGCATATTGTTCTGTAATTTGCTTTTTGTTAATCGCCATTATTTGGTGAGGTTCATCTAGGTTTGTGCATTTAGCTATGTTTTATTCATTCTCATTTCTGTAGAGTATTTCATTAAATGAAAATACCATAATGTATGTATCCATTCTACTGTCGAAGTACATATGGGTTGCTTCCTGTTTACACTATTACAAATGATACTACTATGAACGTTTTGAATGTGAACACCCATGAGAGTTTTTTAGAGAGTGAAGCTGTTCGGTTGTAAAGTATGCACATGATCAAATTTATAAGAATGATGACACAATCACTCAACACACAATCTGAAATAAAAAGACAAAGCTGACTTTATTATAATAGTTAGGCAGAGCGGTGGTTGTCAGGCACAATCTTTCCAAGCAGAGCTGACTATTGATCTCACATATGGCTTTTCAGGTGCTAAGAGTTTAGAGACTTTTAGATCATAGGAGGATGACACCTTCCGCAGAAACATGGTACTCAGGTGAGACTGTTGTTGGTTGGTTGGCATTCACTTATTAGAGTGAGACTGTTCCCGATTGACTGAAAGTCAGAAGTAAGGGGCTGTTACTGATTAGCTTAAAAAATGCGTTTACCGGGGGTGGGTTTTCATTGATCAATTAAAAGATTTTAAAACTGGGTGGCTACATGTTACTAGTTACAGAAAAATCAGTCTTTTCCTTGGAGTGTACGAACATTTTTACGGTCAAAAGATAATGTCAGATTGTTTTCCAAATTAGTTGTCCAACAAATGTCTTTGTGTAACTTGTTAGTATGGGAAAATTTCAAATATAAACAAACTAGAGAGAATAGTATAATAAACTTCTAAATGCACATTACCCAAATTCAGTAATTACCAGTTCATAGCCAATCGTGTTTAATCTATATGTCACCTACTCACCAAACTTTTGGATTATTTTGAAGCAAATTCAAGACATACTATTTCATACCCATAAATGCTTCAATATGATTTCATACCCATAAATGTTTCAGTATGTTTTTCTAAAAGATAAGTACTATTTACAAAAACCATAATTAAAATTTTAATTTAAATGTTTAATTTAAATGTTTATAATTAAAATTATAAACAATAATTTCTAATATCATCAAATAGTACTAAAATAGGTAGTGTTAAAATGTTTCCTATTCCCTATATTCTGACTTTTTTGAATCAGGTTCCAAACAAAGTTCATACATGGCATTCTGGTGATAAATCTTGTAAATATCTTTTAATCCATAGGTTACATCTTTCTATTTTTTTCCTTTCCTCGGAATTAATTTGTTGAAGAAGTCAGGTTCTTTATGCAGTAGAATTTGCCACAGTCTGCATTTGGCTGACTGCATTCCTGTGGTATCATTTAACATGCTTCTCTGAGCCACATGGTGCCTGTAAACTGGTAGTTAGAGCTAATGGTTTCATCAGACTCGAGCCTGATTTTTTCTGACAAGAACACTTCAAAAAATGTGAAGTAGGCACAAAACGTCTGTCAGTCTGTCTCTGTCTCTCTTGTAATGATAAGATTGATTGGGTGCTGTTAACCTGATTTATTCATTACAAAGTGCCCCATCAGCTTTTCAGCATTGATGACTCTTGCTCAGATCCTATTTCATGAGGGACTTCACAACAGTATTCTACCATCTCTTCTGCACTTTAGAGAATTTCATTGGCATCAGAGAGGAAAATGGATTGGAAACAGTCAATACGGAACCAGGAAAAACAGAGGAGGAAAGCAAGACACAGGTAGAAAAACAATAGCAAAGTTTTGTGCATTTAAAATTCTGGGGGTTAAGCCGGGCTCGGTGGCTCAGCCTGTAATCCTGCGCCTTTGGGAGGCTGAGGTGAGTGGATTGCCTGA